AAGTGGATCAATTCCTGAGCCTACGGTAGGTTGTCCATTGCTGGAAAAAGTGCTTGACCTCGGCCCCGTGTGGTGAATGTGTAAAGAAAGACTATACTCCTACCCGAGTTTTATTGCTGAATCTCTATTCCTTCATGACAATAATAGGAACTGTATGAACGCATTTCGCAGATGCTATAAAGCAAGACGCGTAGTAAAAAAGTGACTCATAATTGTGTGATGCGTAGAATGATACCGCATCCGTTTCTTCCAGCTATATACTGACCGGCTATAGGCCAAAATAAAATCAGGGACTGCGCAGTGCCAGTGCAGCAAACTATCATGAACCTGACGCTAAAACGGAATAATTTTGAAACATCGATTTTTGGTCAACAGGAACGGCAAATATATTCATACCTTCAAAATGAACACGTAATTCTTTAAAGTAAGAAAAAAAAAACCTGTGTGGACGCGGGATTTGCAAATTCAGAAGACAGTTTATTCCCCTTTCCAAGAATTCTTAGAAAAGAAAAAAATCTAAAATTACAAAAGAGACTATAAAACATAAATGTTTCTTGAATGCTAAAGTATGGGAGGTTCTCCGATTTCTCGTGAACTTCAAAAGGTGGCATAGCGCGATTTATAAATTTGAAACCGTCATTAATCAGTGTATATAGAAAACGAGTCTGTTCATTTTTCCACGCGTTTGAAGGGGCAGTATTTCTGCTAGGTTTTACAGACTACCCAAAGAATCTAGTCTTCTATGTTTGTTGTAAAACAATCTAACCGCTTTCCTCTGTATTTTTCTTAGTTCGTTTTATATTTAGATGTGTGGATTCCCCCCAAAACCTTGGAATAGTATAAAAGGGGGCCAAAAAAGAGATTTTTAAGTTGTTTACTTTGTTACAGAGCTGCATATACAAATGGGAATTTTACTGCTTTTGAAGCTTTTTGTTTTTAGGTGTGCTCACGCCCTAGTATTAGAATGTTCAGGGTCACTAGTTCGCCAGCCTACTTGCTTGGTTGTGTCTCAAAATAATAGTTGTGTTTCGCGCCTATACGCCTATTGTGTTTGAAGTGTCAGTGTGCCTCCTTAAGGTGACAACATGGCAAATGATGCTTGAGTAATTTACACACCGCGAGAATGGTCTGCCAGAGTAGAAGACTGGTTCATGTGAAACCGTAGCTGCACTGAACTCACCGAATCCTAGGAAAGTAACGTCATTGTCTTCCCTGCCTGCGAGCCACCCACAAGCATATACTAACAGACTGACGACCAAACCTCGCAAAGTAATTGGCTGATCAGTCTCACCATTTCGATCCATTAAAATCTTCGAGGCTTCGGAAGGGACAGTGGCGCAAAGAGAGCTTTGAAACATTATCACACTAAAAACGTTTCTGGCTAATATAAGCGTCTTTGGCACTGTAAATGTAAGAAACTTATAATAATAATAATATTAATATGAGTTTTATTTACCATTTAAATATGGTGAGAGCTGAGGATAAGAAGCTGTCCGAGCAGCTTAACTGGTCTTCAGCCCCCTCAAGTACAAAACGGAGGTAAGGAAGGTAAAATAAAAAGAACAGAAGTCATTACACAATAATAAAAGGTACTTCTAACACAAAAGCAACAAGAAACACCCAAAAAAATTGACATTAGTGACGTTTGCCTACACTAGGGCAAAGTATTTGGAAAGCTGAACACACAAAAAAGCCACAATGTTTAACAAAATGATTTTAGCATATCTCAGCAGCACACACAGTGAAAAAAAAAAGCTTTCCATGCTTTTCTACATTGCGCGAAGTTGGTTGTACCTCCAAGTGTACATATCAAAATTAACAAGGTTATAGCTATTTGAACACAGGCACTCTTTTCCCGGAGTTTAGTAGAGTTGTAGGTACCGTTCACTTCTATTTGTGTCTTGTAGAATAACTAGAGATTTTTTTATTTGCAATTGAACCAGATTACGTATACAATTTATAATATTTTGTGTTTCTAATTTATAGCTGGCACTTAAACGATATTTATATAGGTTGTAGGCGTTTGCCTCGCGAGACGATGAAAGAAAATTCCACTTGGTATACTATACCGCGCGTTAGAGTTGATGTGCCGTATATTTTTCTTTTGCATTAAGTGAAACTTTGTATGTTTAAAATGGTGGTTGTCTTCCACACTTATTGGCAATAGTGCAAATGTGAGTAAAAAAGTGAATTGTAAAGAAGCACCTTAATTCGCGTGGAAAGAAGGTTTTTAATACGACATACTACGCCATTAATTTGAGCTATATTTGTTATTAAGTGGTTAACGTGATTTTCCCACATCATCTCGGAGGAAAATACAACACCGAGACACGTAAAATGTAATACCTCACCGATACGACGTGAACTTAGGATTATGTCCAGGTTTCTGGGAATGAGATTGTTTTTTTATCGTAATATGCCTACCTTTATTTTGCTTCATTCACCTTCGTGAAATCAGGTACTGACCATTTTTCTAGTGTTTTCATTGCATCATTACATTTATTTGTCAGCTCATGAACGTTATTGCCAGAGAACGTATACTAGTATCATCCGAATATATAATAAATTTGGCTGTAGGAAAAATATGCAAAATATCGTTAAGATAAATGTTAAAGATTAGTGGCACTAAGATCCTACCCTGTGGCACACCACAAAGAACAGGTTGAGCCTTCGAGCTCATATAATTTATTTGCATGACTTGTTCTTGATTAGATAAATATGATTTTAAAAGCAATAAGACCCGTCCCTAAATACCATTTTAGTTCATTTTTGTTTTTCTCAAATTGTTAGGATTTATCGAGTCAAAAGCTTCTGAAAAATTTACAAACATTCCAACAACAATACTTTTGTTTTCAGACTGTGTAAGAATATATGAAATTTTTGTTAGTTCGCTTGATTTCTCATTGCAAAAATTGAATTGGTGTGGTGTCAAAAATTACTTTCATCACTGAATCTCGAAAGTATAGCGAGCAAATTATTTTTAAAATCCCTGCAACATACTGCTAGAATGGAGACGGGTCTATAATTTCCCAGGCCATTTCTGTTTCTCTCTTTGTAAAGCACTGAAATTCTAGCTATTTGCATTTGTGACTGGAAAACGGCTGTCGCTAAACAGGAGTTAAATGCATCATTGAGAATAGGTGCGCTAATATCAACTGCATGCTTCACAGGGCGTATCTGAGGCCATCAATAGCACAGTTACTGAAATTATTGAGATGTTTTACTACAGATATCAGTTCACACACGGTGACCGTCTGCAGAAACATTTATTTATCATTTTGAATGAGCACATATCCGCAAGCAGCCGACGAATCGCCACATGCAGTTAAGTTTGTAATGGAACTGTTAATGTGCCAGCGAACTCGGCACCAAAACAATGGCTTCCCATTCCCTTGAAGTTTTGAAAAAAAAAAAAGGTATGTGTGAGGGACCACGATGTGATAGTTTGCTTAATCTGGACCATAACACGTCACGTCGTTATTTCTTATCGTTTGAAGGAGATAAGTTGTATTCTGCACGCGCAAATCGCAGTTTCTTTGCCTATTTGCTTCGGCAATGTTTAAAGCTTGTCAAGTCATCGGGTGCATGAGTATTCAGAAAGCATCTAAATAGTCTGTATCGAATTGTAATTTCTTTTCGAAATTCAGGCGTACTCCACGGTTTAAGTATTTTTTGACTGTGTATACGCTCGTTTACAGGGAAATGCTCAGAATATATATATTTGTTAAATTATTAGCACACCCATTGTAAGCATCATTCCCACCATTAGATGCATCTATTCTGCTCCAACTTCCCGACAGCAGGAAAATTGAAACACATCTCATACAATGATATTATTGTTCATGTTCATTTAAATACTGGAAAATCATTTTTAACACCGACGTCGCACGTGTTGGCGTTGCGAAGATGTGCGCTGGTTTCGCCGGTGCGTGGATGACAAAAGCTCAGCAATCAAGAAATATCTTGATAAAGCAACCTGTCACCGGGATTTCGCATCACCTCACCGAGAATGGAGAGGAAATGGAGAAACTGCTCATTCAGTGAACCAAAATGCGACCATACTGGGATCTGGGAGCTACATTTCCTGGACATAGTTACTCTAGACAGACTCGACCAAAGCTCCCTTTGGTCGAGTCTGTTTAGATTAAAGCAACTGGATATAAAAAAACGGCTCCTTCAAGAAGCCTCGATGCCACAGTCGCATTGCCTTGAGACCGATAACGAGATGTATGTTTGCGGGACTAACCAAGCCCGCCGTTTCTTAAACCGTCGGTTAGTCTACAGGCCAACGCGTTGTTTACAAAACAATGTCGCGTTTTCCCACACCATGGTTAGGCCTCTACGCGTGCGCAGGAACCGTATTCGCAAAAAGTGAAGCTTCTGCTCAAACGCCAACGACAGCGCCGCCGCAGCGTCGTGACGTCAGTTCCACGCGTTCGTCTATACACTCGCAGACAGCTCAAGAAACGCAGCAGGGCGTGGCGTGTCCCGTGCATCTCATTACCCCTCCTTCAGCCAATGGGACTGCGGCGTTTGCCAACAAGAACGCCGAGCAGAAAATCACGAAGCGAGAAGCGTGTAACACCCCCCCCCCCCCCCCCCCCCCCCCCGGTTCTTAAGCTCTCGGCGACTCTACACTAATCCAACCCGCTGACGTCACCAGACGTGTTTGTAAACAGTGTGTTGGTCATATAAGATAGACCTTTCGGAAGCGGAATTCACTTTCTGTCGTGGAACCCCCCCTCCCCCTCTCCCCAAACCCCGTTTCGTTTAGCTTGTGTTTTTACGCTGCTCTCTGGGTTCTGTCCCAACTGGGAAGACGCAACAACGCGTCGCGTCCCGTCACGAGCTCGGGCTTCCTTGCGCACGCGTGTGGCCGCATCGATCGCGGCGGAAGCCCTGCGCCACTTCCGGTCCTGCTCCGCGCACGCGCGGACGACGCTAAGGAGGGAGAGGGCGGTTAGGGAAGCTAAAAAGGGAGGCTGGGGGAGCTATAAAAGGGGAACCGGCGGGCTCTGCGAAAACCCACCCGAGGAAAAGAGACGTTCTTCCCCGTTCTCCACCCCATTCTCGGCATCAGGCGGTGTAGATCGGCGCTGAGACGAATCGGGTCCTCGGACATCCCAGTGCAAGTTTTCAAGTCGACTTCTTTGAGGCGGTCCCGAGACGGTTCCCTCCTGGTTTTCGGCGTCCCGCTCTCTGCTTTTCGGTGAGGAAGACGGGGAGCACTTGTTGTTATCGTTCTCTCTCTTGCCCGCAACAGCTTTGAGCAGCGGCCAGATCGCTTATTCCAGCATGCAAAAGACAGTCAGTCTGCAGTCACTATCGGAGACGTGTTTTTGTCACGTTGCTCGTACACAAACTCACTGCAGACGTGTTCGAAGCGCACATATTTTCGAACCAAAAGTCAGGCGCGTCCGGGGGTAATTCAGTCATCTTGTCTGCGAAAGACATCGTGTCTTTTTATGACGTCATCTTACCAGCGTTCCGCAGCGAATGAGATTGAGGCACAACCCGTCAAGAACGCAGAAGGTTGAATCACGGTACAAAAAACCGTCTTGAAATAAAAAAAAAATGCCATGCTTAATTAAAAAAAGAAAAGAGTTTTTAGGGTTTATGAGAAGCCTCCTGCGTCTACTTCCCAGTTCTCCACCCAGTTACACAGCGCAGACAGCGTTTTTAGGTTTAAAAAAACTATCAGCCTCGAGAATCGCGGAGCTCGTTTCCGTAGAGTACAGGGATTGGCTGTCCTGAGGGCTTTGCGGGAAAGCAGATGCTCCAGATTTCTTAAAGCGTTGTTCTGAGCATTTGAGTCCGTCGTTCCGGCTTGTTTTTTAGCCGCTCGGCTAAAAAACAAGGCCACGCTCGGCATCTGAGTACACTGTTTTTTAATATATTCCAGAGCTCAGTGGCAGAAACTTCTGCGAAGTGCAATGGTGAAAAGAGACGGGAAAAAAAATCTGGGAATTGGTGATGTTGTTTTTATTAGAACGATACAATTATTAGTGTTTACTTGTGCGATTATCTTAAATAAATCTGATTGTGTGTGCTCGTCATTTGATTTAAAGTTGGCGGTTTACGATCTTAATCGGAATACGGCACTTGAATCGTATATGTGCGGTATGTTCGGGCTGTTCCCAACAACTTGTCGCGAACTTGTGGAGTCCATTTGCGGTGTGCCACTTTTGCTGACTCAGCGTTCGAGCGCGTCCCGATGTACGTCGTGCCTGCGAGCTAGGTTATGATATTTAGAACAGTTGCTGTTGCGTCACGCGCCAGTTTCTTCTGAGACCGGTTCACTATTATCATATTATAGCTTACCTATATTTCTTTCTATCCCCGTAATATATCTTAATTATAGCTGTACTGAACACGGTGTTACATCGCTTCTAATGTGAATTTCGTTTGGTTTGAGTAAGGGGTCGTTCTAAAAGAAAAAAAATAATCTCAATTTCGTGTAACCCTTGTATAGTCAATGTCAATTTAAAAAAAAAAACTCGGGGAGCGGCTTATCCTATTCCAGCTCCTTTCATCGTGATTCCTTCTTCTAGGGTTCTCAATGACAAATTTTGCGACCCTATTGGCTGAAAAGCGATAATGACTCACTCAGGCTTGGGTACCCTGCCGTTAGTTTCTCAACATCTAAGTTACTATAGATACCTCAATTGATCTATCGAAACTCACTAAAAGGTTTGCTTCAAAGCGCCTATTCAGTAGCGAGTTGAAGTGTCATATCTAAGCATAAGTGTTCATGCTAAAAACTAAATTCGTAAGGCGATGAAAACGAATCTGTGCCGGTAATGTGTTCACTACCGGCCGACGCTCAAGTTGTGAAAGCCAAAACATGACGGTAGTAGCTTTGGGCGTCAAGCAATGCAATAGTGGAAGAAGAATGTCATGGCGAATATGAGAAAATGGACGAAATTTGGAACTTTGTGCTGACGAGTCCGCTATGTGGTGCCAGCCCGTTGAAGATTTCATAAATTTCCAAACAAATTACACGAAAAGCTTGATTACGTAACTCCAGAAGACGATACAGCCCTTCATTTGGCGGCGATGCACGGATGCCAAATGGTTGAATACCAATGTTGGCAAGTTTCCCGCATTCGTGTGTTAACTTACGTGCATATGACCGGGTGCTCACCACGAAATTAAACTCGTAATAACACTTAAAATAAAAGAAACGTACAAATACCTTTGCTCGTTCCTTACCTTGCTACAACTTTAGTGTAAGACTTTGACAAACGTTTTTTTTAATAAATGGGAAAACAATGGGAAAATGACTTTCGTAATGTCGGCGTGGTTTTGAGGTGTGCCGATATTGGGTCACGCTGTAACTAAAAAAATTTGCCAATGCACTCGCATTGCTAGCCTAGGGTCTATAACGTGCAAACACCATACTATATTTGAAAGACATTTTCTTCCATGTCGACATTTTCTTCCATGAACGACCAAATCGATATAAGCCTCCCTAAGATGAGAATCTTCACTACTGAAAGAATGGCACTGAGGGACAACATTCACTATTAGATGTCTACATACGAATATTTACTTTTTCCCATTAGGCTCCGTCCTTCAGAACATGACAACACTCTTATATCTATATATTCAACTGTTGGTACTGAAGAAGGAGAAATTCCATATATATTCCCTTTAATTATTGGGCATCCCCCGACGTTTGCGGCTCGTCAGTCTTCAAAAAAAGTTCCGATTCTGTGTTGTTCTGCCTGCTCATTACAGTTACGATATCGATAAATTGTATTCTTTCTGCGTTTTTATCCTATTTGATACATTTTGATTATTGCATAAATAGTACTAAATGACTTGCGAAGTCATACATTAAAGGTTACTTGCATTAGCAGCACAATATTGCTTAATAATACGCGTCTAAAACTTTAGTCTGATAATCCCGGCGTGTAAGGTCTGTACAAATTGCAGCAACAATTTTCACAATTTGTCACTTTTTTATTACGTCAGAAGTAATCATTGAACCCCTGCAGATGTTTGTGCTACACCTTTTTTTTTCATTTATTGATTACAGCACACAGAGGGCCAGGAAAAAAGAGGGGAGGGGGCAAAACAGAAGTCGGGATACAGCATAAGAACAATATTGCTACAAAATATAAAGTAAACATACGAACATTCAAAACTTACTTGAACAAATATGGTTGGTCATTGCAGTTCTAAATGAACCGTTTCAAGACATTGACACTGACGATGCGGGAAGTTGGTTTAATTCGGATTGCTGTCTGAGCGTAAACGACTCGTGGTCGGCAGCGGTGCGAGAGTGAAAAAATTCCGATTTTGAAAGCATGGTTAATGCGGTTAAAGCGAAGGACAAGATATAAGGATATCGATTGATAGCCTTCTATATATCAAGAATATCAATCGATATTTTTGATATATACGGTGGTCAGAACGAGAGGGTAATACACACATATTGGTTGATATCCATGTGTAATTGTATACATATGCCAATCTTTTGACCGCTGATATTCATCAATGCAGACAAAACTGGCATGTGCACTGAGCAATGTTGCCGGTCACTCGTTACAAGTAACATCGTTACCGGTAACGCGTTTCTTTTTTCGGTAACGGAGTGACGTACTTGTTACTTTTTCAAAGAACAGTAGCGGGTAACGTACTTACGTTAGTTATTTCAAGTAACGGGTAAGGTAATTAGGTTACTCGCTACACATTCTTGCAAAGAACTAAAAGAAGTACACTTACATTTTTTTTTTGTGCCTCTACACTTCGTTTTACCTGAAGTCTATACGCAACCGACGCTACGGGATTTATTTATTCTTGAGTTGAGGAGTCCCGGCAACAGCTAAACGCCTAACCAGTGGTACACCATAATTCATTCACAACGAAACAATTATTGCGAACACTGCAATAGTAAATGAGATGATGTGAACGATTAGACATCGTCAAAAGGGTGCCATCATGGTGTTTGTCATGTTTGTGTACATGTTCCATCACCCCTAAACCGATCATAAACAAAACATGACTCCTGACTTGCACTTTTGACGCTGTTTGATTGGTTCTATTAGCCCGTAGCGTTGACTTCGTCTGCACCCAAGCTGAAACAAAATATTGGCGCGAAGTCATTAAGTATTGCACGTATTCCACATTCCTTCAAAAGTTTGCCCGTCTTTTCCCCATGCAAAAAAGTATCACTTTTGAAAAACCGCAACACCCACGCCCATTGTCCCAATGTCGAAAAACGCTGACGCAAAAAAACAACAACAACAAAAACTCTTACCGTCTTACCGTCAATAAAAAGTAACGCAAAAGTAACGTTTGTCCCTTTTTATCGGTAAGGGTAACGGTAACGCGTTCCTTTTTGAGGTATCGCAGATCGGTAACGCGTTTTTTTTATTTTGCAAGTAACGAGTAACGTGTTTCGTTAATTTTTTTTTTTTTTTTGGTTAACGCCTACGACACTGGTATTGAGTAGATCGTTGGAGCTATAATGACAGAGTGCGGATAAAACAGACATTTTGCAGCGCGGCCTTGGCGCTGTTTTGGTCGATATTGATTCTGTCCTGTCTACTGCTCTCAACTAACCCCGTGCTTTTCTGTCTTTTTTTATTGCGATTATCACCAAAGCAGCGGTGCTTTGCGTGTCATCAAGCAATTCTTCTTGGCTCTCAAGCTATGACTGCAGCACCGACATACGTATTAACAATGTAACTGAACGCAGCCAGGCTTGTTCCGAGGTCGGCGTAGCTTGTTGAGAGGCGGAAATATCTGAAGATATATCTGCATCTCGCCATATATATATATATATATATATATATAAAATCATATATATATAAAAAAATCATATATATATATATATATATATATATGATTTTTTTTATATATATGATTTTTTTTTTCAAATATGAGTTCTCCGAAAGATGTTCCGCGGGTCAAGGTCAGCAGTTCTTCAAGGTTTCAGCACGACTACAAAGATAGATTTTCCTCCGATCGTTCGCGCCCAATTTTATGAATAAATCTCGCTACGAATCTGCATGATTAAATTCTTTCCTCTTCAACGATAGAGAAGATTTGGACTTCATTATGATTTCAATGCTCATCAGGGTTTTTCACTTTTTCGTCTCGGCATTTACCTTTCACCCGAGTGAAACCACAAGCGGAGTAGGGGTAGTTAGGGGACTCTCCTTCATTTATAGATTTGAATGTTGTAGATAGGAGAGCCGC